ATACCAAAAAGCAAGAGACGACCCCAAAAGAAAGAAAGCAAAAAAAAAGTCAATTCAGATCAAAATGGCGTTTCAAGCTCCTACCGGAATCAATGGTGATCTAATCAAAAGTTCATGGACGGCGTCGGAGAAAGCTTACGGAGCCGAGCACTATCACAAAGAAGAAACAAGGGATTCTGTCATTTTCGCTTTCCGACCATCTTTCTTGGACAGCGATTGGTTTGCTCGGGCGAACGAATCAGCCTTTGGAGAGATGAGGATGGATCGTATTAAAAATCCTTGTATGAGAAGTATCGGTAACAACGTTGACGCTACTGTGAACCAAGCTTTCCTCCAGAATCTTGAAGCTATCATCACTAATTCAAGAACCTCATTTGCTGCTTCTGTAAGTGAAAAAAATAAACTCATAAAACTTATTCCTTGTCTCAATCGATAAGAGTTTGTGTCTCTTCAGGTGGAAACGGCGTCCAAAAGCGGAAAACAGATTGTGTTCACAGGACATTCTTCAGGAGGAGCAACTGCAATCTTAGCAACAGTTTGGTATTTGCAGAANCACTTCATAACGAATCCGAATGGTCTCCCTGAACCTCGTTGTGTGACATTTGGAGCTCCTTTGCTCGGTGACTATGTCTTCAAGCACGCGCTTGGGAGAGAGAAATGGAGCCGGTTCTTCACCAACTTCGTCACAAGATTCGATATTGTCCCTCGGATTATGCTTGCTCAAAAGGCTTCAGTAGAGCAAACTCTGCCTCGTGTTCTTTCCCAACTTAGTCGGACAAGAGATTCGATTCAAGAAAACGACCCGGTTATTGCAGAGTTTTACAAAGCGGTGATGAAAGACACGGCAACTGTTGCTTACCGAGCTGTCTGTGAATTGATTGGAAACGGAGAGGCGTTTCTGGAAACTCTTTCAAGTTTCCTTGAGCTAAGTCCTTATAGACCAGTAGGCACTTTTGTCTTCTCTACAGGGACGAGATTGGTCTCAGTACACAACTCAGACGCCATTCTTCAGATTCTGTTTTACGCTTCTCAGTCCAGCAACGAACAAGAATGGTCTCAAATTCCATATCAAAGCATGAGAGATCATTATAGCTATGGGGAGTTGGTACAATCAATGGAGAATAGTCATCACTTGCTTTTGGATGGAGAAAACTTGACTGCGCTTAATGACCTCACACTGGTAATAAATCTTTCTCTCTTTCAATTTGTGTAGCTCGATCCTTGTATGTTTTTGCGTAAGAAATATCATTTGTTTTGCAGAGCGCAAGAGCCGGACAATGCGTCCGTGCTGCATTTGAGGCAGAGAAGCAACGAGTCAAAAATCAGGATGATATGGATGCCAAATGGCCTAAAATAGACAAGGAGCTGACATGGATAGAGGACACATACAAGCCAATGTGTCAAACACATAAAAACGGGTATTATGATTCCTTCAAGGCTTCTAGTGAAGAGATCGACTTCAATGCCAACGTCAAGAGAGCTGAGCTAGCCGGTATATATGACGAGGTGCTTGGTTTAGTGAAGAAAGGTCAACTTCCAGATGAATTCGAGGGGCGCATACAGTGGATCGAGCTAGCAACTCGCTATCGCAGATTGATTGAACCTCTCGATATTGCAAACTATCACCGACATTTGAAAAACGAAGACACAGGGCCTTACATGGTAAAAGGAAGACCAAACCGTTACATATACGCTGAGAGAGGGTACAAGCATGGACTACTGAAGTCAAAAGGATTGATTGCAGAAACTGAGTTTTGGAGCAAGGTAGATGCTCTTGACTTCGGGTCACCGGAAACTATGCGAGAGGTGCTAAAGATATCGGGATCCCAGTCCGGATCATGCTTTTGGGCTGAAGTTGAAGAGCTCAAGGGAAAACCATATGCAGAAGCTGAGCTAAGGATCAAGACGTTAGAAGGGTTGCTCGGAGGATGGATCCAAGAAAAGGAAGTCTGTGACCAACAAATATTTCTGGAGGATTCAACATATCGAAAGTGGTGGAATTCACTTCCTGACAATCACAAACGCCAGTCTCCGGTGCGAAACCTTATTATGAGCGTAACAAGACCCACCTGAACCTGAAGTGGTGCGATTATTCGAGATATGGGAACGGTACTTGCTTGTGCAACAAGAGATGTAATTGCTCTCTATTCTAAAATTTGGTTTCCACTTGAGGTGATCTTAGAATAAGAAACATGTTCTAAGATCATTGTGAAGTAATGTAATAGTTCTCTATTCAAATGTCAAATTTGTTTCCACTTTACAATGATTCTATGATAAAAAAACATTTCTCTAAGGCCTAGAGGCATCTCAAATAGCATTAGCCATCAACAATGGGTATGTATTTTTTTTTTAAACGTCTGTAATATATGAAAACAAAGCTGGATTTCTTTACAAAACACAAAGCATGATAGTATAATACAGGCAAAACATAACGACATCGACTCCCAAAGCAAAGGGACTAAAGGATGCGTTAAAACGAAACATCTCGAAGAAGCCAACCATGAAGCCAAGAAGGACCACCAAGTGCCAGATACGATTGGAATCTCCCATCCCGAGTTACACTCTTTGCAATCTCCCGAGCTACGAAATTGGCCAAGAAAGACTCTAGCTCAAAGGAGCATGAAACAAACTGAGATTGGAGATACCTAATGTAGCTCAAGAAGACTCGATATCTTGGCCAGTCCTCCGGTTTAGACAACGATCGAAAAACTGTACACGAGTCCAAGGCAATGGTGACCTCGAGCATGTGCAGATCCAGAAGGCTCCTCATCACCCAAATAATGCCACGCATTTCCGCCACCATACGATTAGGAGAGGAGGTAAAAGCATCTCTTGCATGAAACCGTACATTACCTTTATGATCTCTTAATATCCAAGCTCCACCACCATGAGAATTCGTATTATGCCAAGTGAAATT